GGGGGGGGGGGGGGGGGGGGGAGTTTTTAAGTAAATTAGTAACCACCGTGCCATTGATATGAAGAATAAGTTCTAACTAAAGAGATGAGGTTTGCATGTCCATTTGAAGTATAAAACCGAGGGGCCAAAAGCTTAAAATGTGGTTTTCGTAAGGACGCACAAAAACAAAAAGAGAATAGGAAAAATATTATACACCAGCGTATCATATGAACTTGAGAGTTCAATTAACCAAATTTAATATATATTAATTGAATGATAAATTAGAAATTATTGAATACCAACAAAGGCATTATCTCCAGAGAATGTTTCTCGAACATTGAGAATTTTATATACAGTATAGTATGGACAAACCCCAATTTCTGACCTTGAATGCAATACCTGTACATAAGGTACGTTGTAGGAGGCTCTTCGAATGCTTTATGGCCCCTATTTGAGCAAAGCGTTCACTTTGCATAAATATTTAAACATAACTCATCTACTTTTTTTCTAATAATGTTTGACTGCTTGACCTCATGAAAACTATCGAAGAAACAGAAGAGTCTCTCTGGTCCTTTTTTGGCCTCTGATTCTTGCAATTATTCTTGAGGACTTCTTTATTATGACACAAACAAGAGGAAGTGGTAAGTAGAAGGGAAATTACTTTCCCTTGTTTGGGAAAAAATTGAAAAGATGGGATGCGAGGTGAATAGGGAATTTCTTACATAATGAAAGTCTTTTACTCATTAATTATGCAATTAAGTGCTTGAAAGCATTTTCTCATCTTATTCCTGTTCACCATATGGTGAAATAAGGGAGAGGAAGTAGCTTCCTTCCACAAAGGATGAGAAATTTAACGCTGGACTTTCCATCTCTCTACTCCTCTTCTACCAAACATTCCCTAAGTTTTGCTCTTTAGCACTAATATGACAGATATTTTCTTCTCAGTTCTGTTACTTATAGCCTTCCATCAATATTTTTGGTAAAATGAATTTTGAGAGATAGCCCAGTGGTAAGGCCTTGCGTTTGTTCCCCAGTAGTCACCAATTTGAGTTCCCTTAAGGCCACTGAAGTGAGTATTTGGTGGTAAATTTCAGGCCCCGCGTGATTAGTCGAAGTGCGCATAAGTTGGCCCGGACACCTGTGGTTATAAAATATATATATTGCTGTAATATATTGAATAGTAACATTGATTGTGCATTTAAATGCCAATTATGTTTCCTGATACACCAGCTGGTTGAAGCTTCTAATTCCAACAAGTGCAATAAATTGATCATTTCAACATCATTGCAGAATTTTTGCGTATTCTGACATGTTAAGTAACTTCTATCTGTGTTCAGGCAAGCTCATCATCAGGCGTTCCAAATTCCAAGTTGGTCAACCATTTTGTTGGGATGGGATTTCCAGAAAAACAGGTTTTGAAGGCAATAGAGGAAAATGGTACATACATTGTTATCTCTATTTTAGACTGATTCTATGGGATATGATTAGTGTCTGATTTGTACTATTGCTATGCAGGAGAAGAAGATACAGACTCAATCTTGAACACCCTACTGACATATTCAGTGAGTAATGTCTACTGAAAGTGCATAATCAACGGTCCAATGTCCCCAGTCTTCTGAACTTTCTCAATTTCTCTCATGAGTAGTCTCTGTAGGTTTCTAATCCATCTTGTCTTGCAGACACTTGAAGATTCTCCTCCAAAACAGTTGTGTGTCAATTCTGATCCGATCTCTTCAGACTATGAGGAGAACCTTCCCGATGATCTCTCTGATTTGGATGGTTGGTCTGAAAATGAAACAGAGGTATGTGATGCTTGACTAATACTCTTAACTATCATTTGCCTTGGCGTCTTCAGCTGCACAAGTATAATATACTACTTCTAACATTTTTTGAGCAGAGTTAAGTTCAATGCATTCATTATCGCTCAACATTTTTTAGAATAGCAGTATTTTAATTCAAAGCCCCCCCACCCCGCGCCCCCACCCCCTTCTTTCAGGACAATACTTCTTCTCTATCTGAGGAACACAAAAATTTGCTGTCCTTGGAAAGCACAGGATCTTTGTCCGAGAAGGAGAAAATGTTGCTGTCGTTAGCTAATATGGGATATACTGTGGAAGAGTCTTCAATAGCAATGGAAAGATGCGGTGCGTACATGAAATGTAACTGATTATCGTCCGTTTGTTCCGCCACCATCAATATAATCAGTTCATGCTATTCCTGTTTACATGTTTCAGTATTTACTTATCTCTTGTCATCAACTTGTTGATTCTGGGAACTTAGAAAGCATGGTTGCGGAATCTTTCCTCACCCCGCACACATTTTCCCACTTGGCTAAAGTATAAGTTTTGATGCTATTTTGGGGACAAAAAGTTTTGTAGTCTATTTTATGCAATAATTTTTTATTACTTCGTAACGAGGCTCACCATTTAATTATTTTGTTGTACATGTTATACGTATTTTTTTTATTGTCCATTTAAATTGAAACAAGCATTGCATGTCTAACACGGCTATTTTAATTTATGGTTTGGAAGAATGACGATGAAATTAGGGAAAAGTGATGCTATTGTGTGGCTAGTTAAAAATGAAAGTTTTACCATGAATATAGGATGTTGGGAGTATTTGTTGAGACTCTCATATCAGCCTTTTTCTCTAGTACCTATTTTGTTGGGGTTGGTTATGTTCTCTATGGGTGGGATTGATCAATTAAACTTCCATTTGTTTGAGAAGCTTCGATCATATTTGTCTTCATAGTACGCTTTCCCAAAAACGTGTGCATTTCCCGGTTTCGACTATTTCCTTTCTGAGTTTTTCGGAAGATATTACCGGGTTGATGTTGATTTTTAAACAGCAATTATTGGATTTTATATCTTCCTGTTGATGTATTTCCCTCTGTTATTCACACTCCTGGTTGTAGTACGTGATTTCTGCCACACGAACAGTTGACTCTTTTCCTATTGCTTGTGTCTTTAATACTTTTGGTTACTTCAGTTATTAATGTGTAATATAACTGGTTTTGGTGGAACTGATCTTCACCTTTCACGATTTACAAATTTTATCTGAAAAGCATGTCGACAATTTTAGATGGACACCTCTTATATGATCTGATGGCGTACTAGGCAGTTAGTTCTGTGATGTTAAAGAAGGTTTTTTTCCTTTACTGGTACCCAGTCATCCATGCAGATACGGGTATATCATCATTGTGAACTGTCTTCTGTCTTGTCATAATGGCTCGATTCTATCGTGCATAATAAATACAGACCCTTGCACGTGTGCACTAATGCTCACATACAAGGGATAGATAGCTTGATGCCTCCTTGGATTATTAAGAGAGAATTTGTCTCTGTGTTTTTGTAACTGCAACCTTCTACACTTTGTGGGTAACTAGAACCTCCATATGCTGGTAAAACAATGAAGGTGTTGAATCTGTGGACTGGCGGGGCCTCTTTACAACAGGTTTTGCTTGCTGGATCCAGATATCGAAAGCTTTTGTATCTAGGAATGCTAGCGACAACCACTGCATGATTTGCTCATTTGATGCTATTTTATGTAACCTTTCTCATTTTTCAGGTCCAGAAGCCTCAATTGCCGAGTTAACTGATTTTATTTGTGCTGCTCAATTATCAAGGGAGGCAGACATTTATCTGCCGGATGATGACCTCAAGGTTATTTTCTCATTTGTTATACGAAGTTAAAGCTCAATGAGAACTCTGTCAATTTTTATTTATTTATTTTTTCAGATTTAACGCTTCAGCATTTAGTAACTGATATAGTTAACAATGTAACCGACATGTTTTATCCCATGCCTTTCCAGCCAAGATATAATGGAGTAAGCAAGATCAAGAAGAGAAAGTTCTTTGAGATTTGTAAAAAGAAAAATGATCCAGAGACTGAGACAATACGCCTGCCTAACCCAATGATAGGATTTGGTGTACCGTCGATGCAGCCTGAGAATATTAATCGATCTCTTCCTGATTCAGCAATTGGTCCTCCTTTCTTCTATTATGAAAATGTGGCTCTAGCTCCAAAGGGAGTCTGGGACACTATTTCTAGGTTTTTAAATGACATTGAACCAGAGTTCGTTGATTCAAAGTATTTTTGTGCTACGGCGAGAAAAAGAGGCTATGTTCATAATTTACCTGTTCAAAATAGATTCCCTCTTGTTCCTCTTCCCCCGCTCACCATCCAACAAGCATTTCCATTATCGAAACGGTGGTGGCCCCAGTGGGATATGCGAGAAAAACTTAACTGCATACAAACTGCCATTGGGAGTGCAAAGCTAACTGAGAGGATTCGCAATGCTCTTGAGAGATTTGATGGTGATCCGCCTACTTCTGTGCAAAAGTTTATTCTTGACGAATGCCGCAAATGGAATTTGGTTTGGGTAGGGAGGAACAAGGTTGCCCCTCTAGAGCCTGATGAAGTGGAAATGTTACTGGGATTCCCGAAGAACCATACAAGGGGAGGTGGGATAAGTAGGACTGACAGATATAAATCCCTCGGTAACTCCTTTCAGGTAAGCATTTACTTCTCTGCAATTTTCTTTGTTATCACCTTTTATCCAATGAATTTACTTTTTACTAAAATTATGATGACACATTGACATATACGAATTACTTGTCTAGTAAAGTTGTCCTTGCTGAAAGTCATCCTGACATATTGCTTTTGATGTTCCATGTAGGTTGATACCGTGGCATACCATCTCTCGGTCCTAAAGGACATGTTCCCAAGCGGAATAAACCTGTTATCACTTTTTTCTGGAATTGGCGGTGCAGAAGTTGCCCTTCATCGACTAGGAATTAAACTGAAAAATGTCGTTTCAGTCGAGAAGTCCAAAGTGAATAGAGATATAGTGAGGAGTTGGTGGGAGCAGACAAACCAAACTGGAAATTTAATCGACTTTGAAGATGTCCAGGCATTGGACGGAGACAGACTCGAGGAAGTCATAAGTTACGTTGGTGGGTTTGATCTCATCATCGGTGGAAGTCCGTGCAACAATCTCGCAGGGAGCAATAGGGTAAGCAGGGATGGCCTTGAAGGTAAAGATTCGTCGCTCTTCTACGACTATTTTCGTATCTTAGACTTGGTCAAGTCTATTATGAGTAGGTCATCGTAACTTGGTTTGAAGTGCTAATTTTCCTGATACTTGTGGATTCAAATGACTTGTTTGTCTACCTGTTAATAATTCAAATTCCGCAATGGATTTTAGTTTATTTTTCTATGAAGTTCGTGTTATTTTATTTTATTTTTTAAATAGAGATTCTCATAATATTTTTCTGTTTGGTATTTTATGTGAGAGGTGAACCATGTTTGCTTCAGATCCTTAAATTTTCTTGTTGCTAGAAATTATGAGGTGAATTATTGTTTAGAGCAATTCCTTGGCAAGCTTTGGGTACCTTCTTTTCCCATTTTTATAAATAGAGGTGACAAACATGTTTTCAAGCCCTATTTGATTTCTGTTTTTTTCCAAAATACATATATTTTCTTTTCAACTCCACATTCTTCAGTAAGATAATATTTTACGTTAACTCAAAATTTTTCTTTATTTTTTAATCACACATTTGTTATTGATCTACTGTTTCAAAATGTATTTAAACCTTGAAATGGGGCTCAAGTAGATCTTTGTTCTAAATGTAACTCACATTTATATAACTTCGTAGTAACTAAGATTTCCAGATATAATTTTCTGCTGAACTTATCCGAACGTGATATCTATGTTATATCTTTGGGCCTTGCTACTTGGTGTACAATCCCTCTCACAAAAGGGGTCATGATTTATTTATGTGAAAATTACACAAAATCATCCTTTAAATATTCAACATCCTACAATCAGATTGTAAATTTAATATTTCAAAAATTAGATATTTTATATTTAAATATTAAATATTATAATAAGATTTTTATCACAAACTGTAATTAATTTATATCTTCCTCTTTTCACCTCTCTTCTCACCCGTCTCCCTCTACACTCTCAGTCTTAATATTTCAAAAATTAGATATTTTATATTTAAATATTAATTATTATAATAAATTTTTTAATCACAAACTGTAATTAATTTATATCTCATTCCTCTTTTCACCTCTCTCCTCACTCGTCTCCCTCTCCACTCTCAGTCGACAGAAGTCACCTCTTAGCAGCCTTTCGGTGGCACGTCACCGATGACAAACAGCTACGATGATTATGATTGGTAGAGTTGGTAGTGGCGTGGTGGTGGTCCTCTCTTCTTACCTGTCTGCGTCTCCGCCTCCCTCTCCACTCTCAACTGCCTCCTCTCCACTCTCAGCAACCTTCCGTTAGTACATCACCAACGATAAAACATTTGAAACCACTTTCTCCACTTTATGTACTGTTGCAACGACATACAACTGCAACGAATGGAGCTATCAAGACATGATTTTTGGGGGTGATTGGGCTGCTGACGATACACAGTTGCTTAGGGTTTAGTTGTTTTTTTCTGTTGGTGATTATTGGTTGATGATGGTTGAGGCGGTGGTGTGGTGGTAGTGGTTTTGGATCTATAGTTTACATCGATTTGGTTACTTTTGTGGTTCGCTTTTGGTTATTTTAGTTTTGTGGCGGTGGTGGTTGCGGTTGCGATGGTGTGCAGTGCGATGATGGTGTGCAATTCATATTTTCTTTTTCCAAATTTTCTGCTGCGTTAACGGTGGTTCGATGGAGGTAGTTGTGACAGTGGTGCGGTGGTAGTACAAGTGGTTGATAGTAGTAAGGCATTGGCTTTGGTTGTTGAAGTGGTGGTGGTGGCGGCGGCAGCTTCCATACTTTGGAGGTAGCGAGGGCGATAATGGTGATACTGATGGTGGTTGTGGTGGTGGTTATAAGTGGGATGAGATGGGGTTGGATGCTCATGACCAATTATTTGATTGATTGTAACTAATAATTGGTTAATTTGTAATATGTGACTTAAAAATTGTGATTGTGACTCACAATTGATTAAGTTGTGATTGGAAAATTGATCGTGACCAATTAATCTAATAATTTGTAATAAATAAATGAGTTGCAACTAATAGAAGTTATAATTTTGTGACCTATAAAAATTTTTGATTCGTGATTAAAAATAATATGTAACCTATAAATTTTTTTATTTATAACCGAAAAATAAATTGTGACTAATTAATTTTTTGATTTGTGATCGATGAACAAAGTGTGAATTACAAAATGTTTGAATTGTGATCGTAAAAGAATTTGTGATATGAAATTTCTGATTTGTGACCAAAAAATAATAAGTGACTAATTAAATTATTAATTTGTGATCAAATTATATAGATTTGTAACCTAAATATATTTAATTAATAAAATAATGAATGAAGTAATTAAATCATAAATAAATTTTAATAAAAATCTGATTTTTGAAGCTTGAAACTTGTTTTGTTAATTTTGAAATGTGTTATATTTAAATTCTAACTTATGAAATTTTCCCTTTATTTATTGGTGCCCGCTCCCACTCATAAGAGCGGGTTGTACTTGGGGGTGTCAACACAGAGTAGCAAAACTTTAGGGTGTGTTTGATTTGCATTTCTATTTTCTATTTTCAGTTTTGAATTTATTTTCTTTTCTTTTCTTTTCTTTTTATTTTGAGGGAATATTTTAAGATTGCAAAAAATACGTTTGGTTTGTCATTCTGAACAACTGTTTCTCAAAACAAAAAACTAGAAAACCAATTTGGTTTAAAAAATTTAGAAATTATTTTATGACTTTTTTTTCAATTAATTTGATTATTTAGTAAAAGATATCAATTTTATGCTAATAGATGATTAGAAAATATTAATTTTAAAGTTGGTAAAAAAAAGGAATCATTGTATATCTCTAACAATTGTATCGAATTCTTTCGTACATAATAAATCATTGTCACTCATATCATCTATGCACTTACCACAATCATTTATAAAAGTACTCAAACAAATAGAAATATCAAAATCCAATAAATTGATTAAACTAAAACTAGTAGTAAATTTTGGAAATTACAAAGTTCATAATCAATATATGAAAAGAACACAATCCTACATTAGTTCTAGAATTTACAAACTGTTACTTAAATTTTCTCCCAACTGGTGCAACCGTGCAAGCATGTTTAAGAAACCACCCACTAATATTACTTAAATTTCCTTCCAGTAAACAATGATGTTCTACAAGTGTGTCCTATCCAAAATAGCGAAGCATCATCATATCTCCAATAGCCACATCGAAATCATCGGTAAATAAAAAATTATTGTCACTCACATATTGAACCAAACTTGATTCATTAACATTCCTATACATAAATATATTCGTAAGCATCATCGTTATTCATATCAATAATCATTTACAGTACTCTAAAAAATATACTTATCACATGTACAATAGTACAACTAAATATAATTTTCACAGATCATATGTGAAAGACAAGAAGCAAACACAATAAAAACATAATTAAATCACAATGAATTCTAATAAACAAAAGGGAATCACTAAAAAACGAAATTTGGAGCTGGGGCGCTTGAAGAGCAAATGGGTTCCTTGACAACTTTTAACAATTTTAATTTGGAAAGTTCACATATGCGAACAAGTCCATAATCTGAAAAATCAAAATTCACAGTATGCTATGCTTGCATAGTGTTTTCCACTATTGGGTACTAATCAAATATGCCAAACAAGCAATAAAAAGAAATAATAAATCCATTAAATGCAAAAATACACAACTCATAATTCCAGGAGACAATAATTGCTTATTTAATTTGATTTTGGGATGACATTACCTGAAGCATCACAAATCACACCGCACACTGAATTTAGAAAGAAATTTGAGAAATCGTCATAGCAGTGAGAACAAGCCCTCCCAAGTTCGGATGATAACAAAAAATGAACAAGAAAAGCAGGCAGTAGAGTAATACCCTATGTAATTAAAATGAAAATATTCATCAAGCACCTGAGAAGAAGAGTAACCTGCTCGCCGGAATGGAGTATGTAGCCGGAAGATTTGTTGGGGAGGAGAGGAACGAATGAGAGAGAAGATGAGAGGTGAGGTGAGGAATTGTTGAAGAAGTGGAGAAGAGGAATGGTTTTAGGTTTCAATTCTAATACATTGTACAAATGGCATTATCCATTTTAATTTAGGCGTTGAGTGTTTTGAGTCTTTTTAATTGAAAACACTCGAAACCTCAAAAATTCGTTTTGAATTTTCTGTTATAAAAATTGAAACATGAAAAAGGGCTAATCAAATGCACTCTTATATCTTACTTAAAATAGCTAAACTCAATAAAAGAAATTTTTTGTAGGAATGACATTAGGGATAGTGTCAGTTATTTTTTGGGGTCGGGGTCGGGGTTGGGGTTGGGGTTGTAGAACGAGGAGCTGGATCGCATGGGGATTAAAATATCTTCATTTATTTTCTCGTTGAATTAATTAATATTGTTAATATGTTTTTGATTTTACATATAATATTAAAATAAACAAAATATAGTAAAATAATAAAAATTCGATTTGGGAACTACGTGTTTTTCATCCCTAGCTTATTTATCATTCGAGGCAGGTGAGTTGAGGACAGAAGATTAAGGGTGAGCGTGGGTCAGGTTGATTAGTTTATGGACCAACCCAATACCAATATGATCAATTCGTTTTCATGATGTGGAAATAACATAATTTCAGGGGTTTAAAGATGATAATTCAAAATTCATTGATTAAGTTTCATTGATTCATAAATTAGGTATCAATATATACAAACCCTAACCCTAAATCATTTTAATTTTTCTTTTCCCTATGCTCTCTACCTCTCTCTCATTTTCTCTCCAATCTCTCTCTTCTACGTTGGCAACCCATTCAAACTCCGAAAATCAATGATGAAGCTGCACTCGCTGACGACTGCTACGAAGCGTGTGGTGTTTGCAGTTCATCAACGCGGCATTACAACGCTGCTGTCCTTTGGCACAGACGACTTGTGGAAGGGGTTTGCGATTTTTTCTTCCTCTTTCCAATTTGAGGAGGTTGTGGCAACGACGATCTGGGGATTGTTGGTTGATCTAGTGGTTGTGTTCACAAGAGTGGTGGTGGCTTTATGCAACACACCTCTGATTTTGGATCGGGTTGTGCAGTGTTTGGCGGTGCGCGATCGTGGTGATTTTTTACGACGGTGGAGGTGTTAGTGTTGGCAACGGTAATGTGGGTGGTGTTGGTGAGGTTGTGGGTTTGGTATTGTTGGTGTGTTTGATGGTGGCAGTCGTTGTGGTTTCTGACGACGAAGGTGGTTTTCGGTGGTTGTGGTTGTCTTTATTTTTGTGGGCATTCGATTTGACCTAATTGTGGCGATTTTGTTGATGTTGGTGGGGATGGTGCTGTTGAGGTGGCAACGGTGACAGTAATGGTGGTGATGGTGGTATGTGACCAATAATTTAATTGTGACTTAAAATTTTGATAATCTGTGACCAATTATTTGATCTTGAAATCATATGTGATCTGGAAATAAATTGTGACCTATAAACTTTTTGATTTGTGATCTTGAAATAATCTGTGACTAATTGATTTGATGATATATGACTCTCGCCTCTGAATATGCATGTCGTGCCACTTCTTGGTTCGTTCCTTGTAAAGTTTTGAATTTTCGTAAGCTTTCATTCTAAACTCATCTAACTCATTAAGTTGCAGTAGACGCTTTTCACCGACGGTGCTCAAGTCCATATTCAACTGTTTCATAGCCCAATATGCTCGGTGCTCCATTTCTAGTGGCAGATGGCACGCTTTTCCAAAGACTAGGTGGTATGGAGACATGCCTATTGGGGTCTTGAATGCTGTTCTATAAGCCTATAATGCATCGTCCAGCTTTTTAGACCAATCATTTCTAGATGAGTTCACAGTGATCTCGAGTGTTCTCTTCAACTGCCGATTAGATACCTTAACTTGCCCGCTGGTTTGTGGATGATATGGAGTAGCAACGCGGTGTTTAACGCCATATTTATTCAATAACTGCTCAAACCTGCGATTACAGAAGTGCTTGCCCCCGTTGCTGATTATAGCCCGCGGTGTACCATATTGGGTGAAAATATATTTTTTCAAGAACCCAATTACTGCCTTTGAGTCATTTGTCGGCAGTGCAACTGCTTCCACCCATTTTGATACGTAATCCACTGCTACCAAGATGTACTGATTTGAGAACGACGGGGGAAAGGGTCCTATGAAGTCAATTCCCCAAACATCGAATACCTCCACCTCCAAAATATTATTCAATGGCATTTCATTCCTCCTCGAGATGTTCTCGGTGCGTTGGCATCGGTCACACCTTTTGACAAACTCAAAAGCATCTCTAAACAGTGTAGGCCAGTAAAACCCTGATTGTAGGATCTTTGCAACTGTTTTCGAAGCCCCAAAGTGTCCTGCATATGTAGATGAGTGGCATTGCTCGAGAATCTCATGTACTTCTTCCTCAGGTATGCATCTTCTTACTATCTGATCAGCCCCTCGCCTATAGAGGATTGGATCCTCCCAGAAATAATACTTCAATTCGGTGAAAAACTTTTTCCTCTGATGACTTGAGTAGTCCGGTGGTGGGAACTAGGAACTCCTTTAACTGATGTAGGCGGTGGTAACTTCTCAATAACTTGAATTTTTGCCTTATCCACATCAATTCCTTTTGCTGAGATTCGATGCCGGAGTACAATGCCTTCTTGTACCATAAAGTGGCATGTCTCCCAATTTAAAACCAGGTTAGTCTCCTTGCATCTCTGTAAGACCAAATTCAGGTGCTCTAGACATTCATCGAATGAAGATCCAAACACTGAGAAGTCGTCCATGAAAACTTCAATAAACATTTCAATCATATCAGAGAATATCGTTATCATCCATCTCTGAAATGTGGCTGGAGCGTTGCAAAGACCAAAAGGCATCTTACGATAGGCAAAAGTACCATAGGGACACGTGAAAGTGGTCTTCTCCTGATCTTCTAGTGCGACAGGTATCTGATTATAGCCCGATTATAGCCCGAGTATCCATCAAGGAAACAGTAGTGTAAATGTCCAACCAATCTCTTTAACAACTAATCAATGAATGGGAGGGGGAAATGATCCTTTCGTGTGGCTGCATTGAGTTTGCGATAGTCGATGCCAACTCTCCATCCCGTAACTGTTCTGGTGGGAATTAATTCATTCTTCTCATTTTTCACCACTGTGATTCCCCCTTTTTCGGTACCACTTGAACTGGGCTAATCCATGCACTAGCTGAAATTGGGTAGATAATTCCTGCATCCAGTAATTTCAGTATCTCTGCCCTGACCACTTCCTTCATGTTCGGATTTAATCTTCTCTGACCCTCTATACTTGGCTTGCAGTTTTCTTCCATTAGAATTTTATGCATGCACAGAGAAGGGCTGATTCCTTTAATGTTTGCTATTGTCCACCCAATCGCCGTCTTGTTCTCTTTGAGTACCCTGAGCAATTTCTCTTCCTCCACCTCACTGACTGTATTCGAAATGATTACTGGAAGTGTATCTGACTCCCCCAAATATGCATATCTGAGATGTGGCGGTAGTTGCTTAAGTTCTAAAACTGGTGGCTGCTGAATGGAAGGCAGTGGCTTTGTATTTCCCGTCCTCAGTTCCTCGAAGTGCCTCTTTCGGGTGTTTGGCGGGTTGGTCTCCAAAAATCTTGCACATGTTTCAATTTCAAGAGACTCTGACTGAACTGATTGGGATTGTACAATACATGCTTCATAGGCATCAAATGGGCCGTGAAGTAAGAACGTTTCTTGTACTGCCTTGTCAATGATGTCAACTTGGTAACAGTTATCTGATTCTGTTGGCAGTTTCATGGCCTTGAAAACATTGAACGATATCTGCTCCTCTCCCAATCTTAAGATCAACTGCCCCCTTTGAACATCAATTAACGCTCTCCCTGTTGCAAGAAATGGTCTGCCAAGTATCAATGGGACGTCCTTGTCTTCTTCCATGTCCAAGATAAGAAAATCCGCTGGGAATATGAACTTCTCAACCTTGATTAGCACATCTTCAATTATTCCTCTGGGATGTGTCAGTGACCTGTCAACCAGCGAAGTGTCACAGTGGTTGCTTTAGCTTCTCCCAAGCCAAGTTTTCTGAAAACAGACAGAAGCATTAAATTAATACTTGCACCGAGGTCACATAATATTTTATCGAAATATATTTCACCGATTTTGCAAGGAACAGTAAAACTCCCTGGATCTTTTAGTTTTGGTGGGAGCTTATTATGGATTTTGGCACTACATTCCTCCGTAAGCATAACTGCCTCATGGTCTTCCAGCTTACGTTTATTTGATATGATATCCTTCAGATATTTCGCGTAGCTAGGCATCTGAAACAGTGCATCGGCTAGTGGGATGTTGATATGGAGCTTTTTGAAAACTTCTAGAATTTTTTTGTATTGTTACTCTACTTTTTGCTTCTTCAAGCGCTGTGGAAAGGGAATCGTAGGCTCGTAGGGGTTGTCTGTGACTTTGGCCTTGTCCTGTGACTTTTCTAAATTTTCCTTTGAACTTGATTCCTTTACAACAGTCTCTTCTTCAGCGGGGGAAGATGTCTCTCCAATCACATCCAGTCTCTTGACATGGATTTCAGGCAATTGTACTCCACTTCGAGTTGTAATGGCCTTGGCTTGCTCTTTAGGATTGATTTCTATATTACTTGGTAAGTTACCTGGCGTTCTGCCAGTCAATGCGATGGCTAGCTGCCCCATCCGAGTTTCCAAATTTTTGATGACTGCATTTTGATTTTGAAGTGTAGCTTCGGCTTTCTCCATGAATTTTCCTATCATATCTTCCAATTGAGGCCTCTTCTCTTCTTGTTGAAATTGCCCCTGTGGCTTATTCTGATTCTGGTTGCTCCAAGAGAAGTTGGAATGCTTCTTCCAGCTGGGATTGAAAGTCTCTCCATATTGATTGTGTTGCTGGTGTTGTCCCCACTGTGCGTAGTCTGCTTGCTCAATTCCTTGCATGAGTATTGGGCAATCTGATGTTTTGTGCTCGGCTCCACATTCCTCACAATTGCTCTTCTTAGCTTGTGATGCTTGTGATATCTTTCCACCTTGTGATACAGAGAGTCAATTTTTGCAGATATTGCTGAATAAGCATCCACCTCGTAGACACCTGGAGTTTTCTTTGAGATCGCCCTCTCAGAAGACCACATGGCTGATGTGGTAGCCATTCGCTCAAATAATTCCAATGCTCCATCAAATGTTCGTATGGATATTGAGCCATCTGATGCTAAATCTACCATGCTCTTATGGTATGGAAGTAATCCTGTGTAAAAGAATCGGATTTGGGTCTTTTTATTGAACTCATGCTGAGGGCACTTCCGGAGCATGTTTTTGAATCTATTCCAGGCTTCGTCGAATGATTCAGTTTCTCCTTGATTGAATACTGATATGTCATATCTCAACTTCGCTATCTTAGCTGGGGAGAAAAACTTTGTGCAAAATTTGTGTGCCAGCTCGTTCCATGTAGTGATACTCGCAACTGGGAGTGAATCCAACCATTCAAGTGCTCTGTCTCGTAACGTATGTAGAAAAAGCCTTAACCTAATAGCGTCATCCGAAATCCCTTGGTATCTGAAATGTTGACACATATCCAGAAATCGAGATACGTGTGTGTGTGGATTCTCCTCGGCTTTGCCATAAAATTGGTGTCCATTTTGAAACAGCTGTATCACATTGGTCTTCAATTGAAAATTGGGCTGCCCAAACGGTGGATATACAATGCTGGATTGGCTTTGAATAACTTGAGGAGTCAAGAAGTCCCTCAAAATTTCATTCCTTCATCCATTGCCTCTCCTTCGTTAGCTTGAATAATATGATTGTTTGATTCGTTGGCCATTTGTACTGGTGCTTCGCGGTGATCTCTTTGTCGTCGATGAAAGGTGCGCTCAATTTCAGGATCAACTGGAATCAATTCTCTTTCAGGCAATCGTGACATGCAAATCTGAGAATTAAAACCAATACGAGCACTGAGATTCAAACAATTTAAATAACTAAGACACAAATAAAGGATAATAACCTAAAATAAAAATAAAAAAATTATACTAGCAAAATAAAAATTTTGTTCGAATTAGTGCCTCGAGAAATAGAATTAAACTAAACTCGTTCCCTAGCAACGGCGCCAAAAACTTGTTCGCGAAATTATTTCTTTCGATTTAAAACTACCGCAAGTGTACGGTTCGTTAACAAATAATAAAATAGATTCAATGAGTCCGAATATCGTTCCACAAAGATTGATTAGTTCAAATTTTATCTAATGTAGCCTTAACCGAAACTGGATTGTCAAAGTGGATATGGACCTAATTAAAAACTCTAATTTCAAAAAGAAACCCTAATCATGCAAATTAAATGAGTAAATTGAAATTAAAACTCAAAATAATATTTTAACACTCTAGAATAAAACTAAAAGTTGAGAACGCACGTTGTTATAATTATTAGAAATTAAATACGCTAGGATCACGATTTTCCATGCAATTATCACTTTGAACCCTAGTTTCACAATATGACAGCACACTTCAATTGTGACGGATCAATGTTCCTAAGTCTATCCAATACTCTCTCTCGAGATATATCAAACCTATTTTTACATACCACCGGCCTATATTTATATGACAAGAGTATATGTAAAAATGCATGTAATTTTATGAACACTTAAAAATTCACGTAGGGCATAGCGATATATTTCTATCCACTATCGGACCCTACGATGATTTATATTATGTCAAATCTATTCCAATTCTCTCGAAACCAAGAATAAATCACTTAAATTCACACAATTACGAGCCTTTAATTGCGGAAACATTAATTGCATATAAATCATTCAAAACAATAAAAATTGTGTATTAACATCAAATTGCAAAACGAGGATATTAAAATTCAAATTACATGGTTCATCGATCTCCTAGCATAATAAGAATCTAGCCTAACATGATCAAAATAACAAAATACATCATGTTTTGAATAAAAGATACCACCGGGTTATGAAATCTTGAAGAAATCTTGAAGTTCTTCGTGCCAATCTTTGTTCTTGCTCTCAAATCCTCTCCAAGAAGTGTTTTTCGACCTCCAATTGCGTTCTCGCCATCTCTGGAATGTTTTTGATATTTATATCCCGTCAATATTAGGTTACCAAAGGATTTTGAATCGTATAAGGAAAGAAAATTTCGCATCAGACAAATAGCCATGCGACCGCATGGTTTTAATCCATGCGGCCGGGTGATTATTCCATATTTCCAATTGAATTCCCTACATCCCTTCGTGCGGCCGCACGAGAGTTCTACCATGCGACCGCATGGTAGACTTCAACTTCCAAAAACTTCAATTTAGTCCCTTTACTTGAATTTTTCACTTCTATGCCTCTTTTCTTCACTCTTTCCATTCTATCATCCCAGGGCATCATCAATTTGCATTTGGTTCAGCAAATTCCTTGATTTGTTCATCGGGTCAACTTTTGGGTAATTGCACCTTGGTCCTTGAACTTTCACTTTGTATCATTTTAGTTCTTTTTGGCGTCTTTTCTCATGTATTTCACCATGTTCATCGGTGTTACCTACAATTCACAAATGTAACGAAATTAAGTCACAATTCAATCATTTTATTCGTAATTAAGTCATGTTTGTGACCTAAATAAATGTGCAAAAACACACTTATCAATTGTCCTTTTATCTTTGTGTCTTCACATGCAGTTGGGACAATCTCTTAACTGGCAAGATTCTTTGATAGTTGTAGGATATCCCAAAAATTGATGTATGTCAAATTTTATGATATAGTCCTTCAAGATTTTTGATTTTCCATGTCCTCTATTTGTAACTAGCAACCAATTTTCATATTGACATAAATATGAGAATTTTTTATCATACAATTTTTGGCAATCCATAATTTTGTAACCAATGGAGCTTTTCTATCATTCTCCATAACATCTATTTGGAAATTGGCTGCTACCTACCCAATTGATATTATATGCTCAATTGAATCATAAACAATTTCATCATATTCAGGACTTATTAAATAAAATTTTAGATATATTTTTCGTCCTTTGGTAAATTTTGATACTTCTTTTATGAACATATCATCAAATTTTAATATTTGAATCAAATTTTTTCCTGAATATATTAAATCCAGAAATTCGTAGTCTGCAATTATCTTTATGAATGAAGGGTCTCCTCTTTCCATGACTATCACTCTAAGATAAACATTATTTGCTATAGAGATAAAATATGAATCACTTATTTTTAATTTATAGACAATTCTGACTATTTTGGCATATTCTTCTTCTTTTGAATCTAAAGGGATCATATTATCCTGATCTATGACACTGATAGTTTTGGAATCATTTTTATCTTTATGTATCATCACTTTTTTAGTTGATGCTGCTGAAATTGAATCTCATTTTTTATCAGTTGGTATGATGTCACGTCTGGATCCACTACTACTTCCAGCTATCCATGTTTGCTATTGATTTGGAAAATTCATTTCTTAGCTCTTTGGTATATCTGTCTCAGATAATATATCTTTTAGTTGTGTTGCAATAGCATCAACTTGATTTTTGAGTTTTATGGTTTCTTTATGTTGCTCGGTAATGATATTCAACAATACTTTTATATTTGAGTTGAACATCTCTGAGATCTGTGCTGCTCTAGTATCCATATCTTCAGCTTCTTCTTTGAGAAAATCTATCTTTTTTTGTATATGTAAGATAGATTGATATAAATCCATGACCTTGGTTTCATCCATTAGCAAATTCTATGTTTCTACTAAGAATATCTAAAAGAAAATTATTGACTCCTTTAATATAAATTATATCAAAATTATAAAATGTTAAATAAGCTTACCATCTATGGAGCCTTTTGTATTGATGTTCTGATGGTAGTTTATTCCAGACAAATCCTGTAACATGACAATTATCAGTTTCAACAGTAAAATTCTTGAATAATAAGAATAATGAGAACTTTTTTATTACTGTGATAATTGCTACTAATTCTTTTTCATGAGTGGTATAATTTATGTCTACTTGATTAAATGTTCCTCTTGAATATCTACAAATCCCATTTAGATCTGTGTTTGATATTGCTACCCAATATTTATCTAGGGCATCAATATTAACAATCAAATTATCTTTTTCATCTGATAATCTTAATTTTGGTAAATCTTTACATTCTTATTTAATGATTTAATTATTTCTGTATGTTCTTCGTTCCATCCTTTAGTATTTATTTTTTTAAATAAAATTTGTATTTTATGTCTTTTCTTAGAAAGATTTTCAATAAATCATTCTGCATAATTTAAACATCCCAAGAATTTTTATATTTGTTCTTTGAATTCTAGTTTATCTGGAAAACTTTCTATTTTTTTTTTAGATATGTGATTCTGCAATTTTATTTCTCTTTTATCTATTAATAATTCAAGAGAGTCTATTTTTTGTTTTTCTATTATAGATTTCTTTTTAAAAAATACAATTCATTCTTTTTTACATTCATTTATGAATTGAATTAAATGATTTTTATGTTCTTCCTTACTATTAGAATATATTAGTACGTCATCTGTACAAACAATTAGAAATTCATTAAATTTTTTAAATATATTATCAATTTTTCATTTATATATTTGTGATGCATTTTTTAAATCAAATAGTATCACTAACCATTCATATTTTCCTTGAGGTGTATTAAATGTAGTATATTATATACTATTTTCTTCCATTTTTACTTGTCAAAATCTTGATTTACAATCAAATTTAGAATAATATTGTTTTCCTTTTGCAATGTTTATTAAAATTTCTTTATTTGGTAAAAAATATCCATCAAATTTAGTATATTTATTTAATTCTTTATAATTTATAACTAAAATAGTTTTTCCTCTAACCTGTTCAGAATTTTTTATAACCATAAAGACTGGACTACTATGAGATTTATTACTAGGTCTAATAAGTTTCTGTTCTAATAATTCTTTTATCTGATTTTTAAATTCTTGTGTATTTTTTATAGTATACATCACTCGTGTCTGAATCTTATTATAATATTTTCTGTTAATTCTATTTTGGCTTTAGCGGTGATGTAGCTTCCAAAATAATAATGAATTTTTTTCATAAACTTTTTCTAATTGTTTAATAATTTTTTCTATACTCATTTCTATTCCTATTTTTAGGATTTTTTTT